AAATCATGTCCAAATAATCTACAAGTAACTTCATTGAATTACACAATCAATGTTGAGATACTTTAGGATGGTTTGAACAGGAAGCGTGAAAATGAAAAGAGGGACTTAGTGAGATAGCGAGATGTGCAATGTGATTTTGTTTCGATATTTGATTGATTTAATTAAAATAAGATACCTAGACTTTAGCTTTTGAGAGTAAATTACTAAAAAAATTATGTATATCACTAATCTTAATTTTGCCCCATAGAGTGGGGCAAAACACCCCCTATCTAAAGTTTCTGTTTTTATTGAACAGCAAAGAAAACTATTAATTCTGCCCACTTATTTCATTTTTTTTTTGCCTAAGGATAGCCAGTATGCACATATCTAAATCTTACCAAACTTTGCTTTTTTGTTCTCAGAAAAAAATAGTTTTTCTTAAAGGGGGAGTTGCACCCTAATTACCATTTTTTGGAAGGAAAACTATTTCACTCATATTGTAATTAATAATAGGTCATATTTCATAGAAAACTGGAAACGCTGGACAGTTACTTTAAAATGTACACACCGTGCATTGCAGATGTTTTACCTGCATGAAGAAAATTGTATGTTCTATCCTCAAGATGGCGTTATTTTCCAGCCTTTTTAGAAGGCCTCAAAATGTAGCACACGATGCTACTACACGTAAAATGAGCTACCTACTGGCATAGGCATAGCCTACCTTGCAGACCTGGTGATTTTTGGTGAATCATGTAGTAAACAAAAAAGTATTAAACAAATCAAAATATATTTTATATTTGAGATTCTTCAAATAGCCACCCTTTGCCTTGATGACAGCTTTGCACACTCTTTGCATTCTCTAAACCAGCTTCATGAGGTAGTCACCTGGAATGCATTTCAATTAACAGGTGTGCCTTGTTAAAAGTTAATTTGTGGAATTTCTTTCCTTCTTAATGCGTTTGAGCCAGTCAGTTCTGTTGTGACAAGGTAGGTGGGTATACTGAAGATAGCCCTTTTTGGTAAAAGACCAAGTCCATATTATGGCAAGAGCTTCTCAAAAATTTCAAGATTTTTAAAGTTTCTTCAAGTGCAGTCGCAAAAACCATCAAGCGCTATGATGAAACTGGCTCTCATGAGGACCACCACAGGAAAGGAAGACCCAGAGTTACCTCTGCTGCAGAGGATAAGTTCATTAGAGTTACCAGCCTCAGAAATTGCAGCCCAAATAAATGCTTCACAGAGTTCAAGTAACAGACACATCTCAACATCAACTGTTCAGAGGAGACTGTGTGAATCAGGCCTTCATGGTCGAATTTCTGCAAAGAAACCACTACTAAAGGACACCAATAATAAGAAGAAACTTGCTTGGGCCAAGAAACATGATCAATGGACATTAGACCGGTGGAAATGTGTTCTTTGGTCTGCAGCATACAGCAGCATACATACAAAAATAAAATAAATTAAAACATACAATTGGAAATAATAATATATAAATATACATACAGTACCAGTCAAAAGTTTGGACACGCCTACTCATTCAAAGGTTTTTCTTTATTTTTACTATTTTCTACATTGTAGAAATATAGTGAAGACATCAAAACTATGGAATAACACATATGGAACCATGTAGTAACCAAAAAAGTGTTAAACAAATTTGAGATTCTTCAAATAGCCACCCTTTGCCTTGATGACAGCTTTGCACTCTCTTGGCATTCTCTCAACCAGCTTCACCTGGAATGCTTTTCCAACAGTCTTGAAGGAGTTCCCACATATGCTGAGCACTTGTTGGCTGCTTTTCCTTCACTCTGCGGTCTGACTCATCCCAAACCTTCTAAATTAAATGTTAACTAGTGACAAAGTAGCCTGTGCCTACCTGGCAGAATAATATCATGATTATTTGCATCAATCCAGTGGACATTTGTTTTGCAAACTCCATCTCATGTGCACTACAGAAACACAGCTAACCAAACAACAGTGCCTGCGCACTTGACTTAAAGGGTATCTACACTGAAAAATCAAAATTTCTTAGCTTTTTCACAGACCTCAAAAGTGGTTTCCTGATGTGGTTTAAGTATTGTTGTGGACTTAGAACCTCCAATATTGTTGTTTTTCCCAAAAATTAATTCAAGTGTGACTGAGCGAAAACCTGACATTTTTTGAAAAAGTACCTGTGAATTTCTGACTAAATCTCATTTACCTATTTCAATAGTTGGCCTACTATTAGCCTACTAGCACAGTACAGCTTGGGTTGGCCTGACTGTGAAAGACCAATATGGAATTGATCATTTTAGGTAATTCAGAGTGTACAGTATGTTACTGTTTCTCATAGATGTTTTCACACAGGCCACCTTTCCTTGGCCGCTTGGGGAGTTTTGGGCAAAACTAGAGTATACCCACTTCTCCAGGCACCACTACACCACTGGCCATAACTAAATGTACTGAATAAGGGGCGGGTGGAGGCCTATAGTGGCCTATGACCACTTCTTCCAGAACTTTTCATATTTTGAAAACGATTTATTTATAACTGTTACTGATCTCATGAATAAATACACATCTGGGCCCAGATTAAAAAATAAATAAAAATAAAATCATGAGATGTAAGTGCAATTCCTCAAAAAAATCTTAAGATTTCATGATTATCTTACGAACTTCTCAAATATCTTCTTACAAACTTCTTAATTGTCTTCTTAAGATGATTGTCGCTAGGTAACCAATTTAGCTAGCTATCTAGCTAGCAATGGCTATCATGTTAGCATATTTCGCACTGAGATTACTGTTCTAAAAAATGTTATTGGGCTTAAAATAATACTGAAACTTTCAGATTAAGTTTGTGAGTAAATTAAACTTGTACTGCAATGGGCTAAATCAGGGTCACACAGAGTGCTTCTTAGTAGTCTTAAACAAATCTACCTTGAAACAAAAGTATACATCTCACACACATGGTTATGGGCTTAAACAAAAGACGGCACCTGTACCATGTCAGATATAGAGTTGAAATGTATTCAATTTGGAGTTTGCATCCCAATATTACACTTTATATACACTACCATTCAAAAGTTTGGGGTCACTTAGAAATGTCCTTGTTTTTGAAAGAAAAGCAGTTTTTTGTCAATTAAAATAACATCAAATTGATCAGAAATACAGTTTAGACATTGTTAATGTTGCTGGAAACTATTGTAGCTGGAAACGGCTGATTTTTTATGGAATATCTACATAGGCGTACAGAGGCCAATTATCAGCAACTATCAGTCCTGTGTTCCAATGGCACGTTGTGTTTGCTAATACAAGTTTATCATTTTAAAAGGCTAATTGGTCATTAGAAAACCCTTTTGCAATTATGTTAGCACAGCTGAAAACTGTTGTGCTGATTAAAGAAGCAATAAAACTGGCCTTCTTGAGACTAGTTGAGTATCTGGAGCATCAGCAATTGTGAGTTCGATTACAGGCTCAAAATGGCATGAAACAAATAACTTTCTTCTGAAACTCGTCAGTCTATTCTTGTTCTGAGAAATGAAGGCTATTTCATGTGAGAAATTGCCAAGAAATGGAAGATCTCGTACAACGCTGTGTACTACTCCCTTCACAGAACAGCGCAAACTAGCTCTAACTAGAATAGAAAGAGGAGTGGGAGGCCCCGGTGCACAACTGAGCAAGAGGACAAATACATTAGTGTGTCTAGTTTAAGAAACAGACGCCTCACAGGTCCTCAACTGGCAGCTTCATTAAATAGTACCTGCAAAACACCAGTCTCAACGTCAACAGTGAAGAGGCGACTCCGGGATGCTGACCTTCTAGGCAGAGTTGCAAAGAAAAAGCCATATCTCAGACTGGCCAATAAAACGAAAAGATTAAGATGTGCAAAAGAACACAGACACTGGACAGATGAAGATTGGAAAAAAGTGTTATGGACAGACGAATCGAAGTTTGAGGTGTTCGGTTCACAAAGAAGAACATTTGTGAGACGCAGACCAAATGAAAAGATGCTGGAGGAGTGCTTGTTGCCATCTGTCAAGCATGGTGGAGGCAATGTGAAGGTCTGGGGGTGCTTTGGTGGTGGTAATGTGGGAGATTTGTACAGGGTAAAAGGGATCTTGAAGAAGGAAGGCTATCACTCCCTTTTGCAACGCCATGCCATACCCTGTGGACGGCGCTTGATTGGAGCCAATTTCCTCCTACAACAGGACAATGACCCAAAGCACAGCTCCAAACTATGGAATAACTATTTAGGGAAGAAGCAGTCAGCTGGTATTCTGTCTATAATGGAGTGGCCCAGTACAGTCACCGGATCGCAACCCTATTGAGCTGTTGTGGGAGCAGCTTGACCGTATGGTACGTAAGAAGTGCCCATCAAGCCAATCCAACTTGTGGGAGGTGCTTCAGGAAGCATGGGGTGAAATCTCTTCAGATTACCTCAACAAATTGACAACTAGAATGCCAAAGGTCTGCAAGACTGTAATTGCTGCAAATGGAGGATTCTTTGACAAAAGCAATGTTTGAAGGGCATTATTTTAATTAAAAATCATTATTTCTAACCTTGTCAATGACTACATTTACTATTCATTTTGCTATATTTCCTATTCAAACTCATTTAATGTATGTTTTCATGGAAAACAAGGATATTTCTAAGTGACCCCAAACTTCTGAACGGTAGTGTACATCACAGAAGACTGAAATATATACAAATCTTTTTTCTTATTAAGTTGTATTAATTATGGAATTATGAAAAATATTAATAACATTCCACATGAGGCCACTAGAGGCCAATTTGGTCCAATGACTGCAGGAAAGGGCTACACGTGTTCAATTGCTTTCATTAGCTTATTCTCTTACTGCCCTGAGTTTAAGACAAGGGTTTAGCTATCTTGGAATTAAGAACATTTCCAAGAACAAATCCAATAACTTTATTTTCAAGAACCTAATTTCTTCTTAACTTTTTGCTTAAGGAGAAACATAATAAATAACGCAAGAACATTTTCAGTAACCTTTTTGAGGAATAGCAACTTTGCTTAACTTGCTTCATAAGTCTATAATTAAGGAAAAAATGGCAGTTAAGAAATATATTCTTAAGCGAGTTTTGTGAATCTCGGTCCTGGAGTTTATGTTGTTACAATGCAATTATAAACATACATTTTGTTTGGAAATGAACCTTATCTTTGGCCAATTGCAGCTACAGTATTGTATTGCTTTGACATACTGTATTATAAGGCATTTATTCAACTTCAATATAAACCTAGGAAACCTACAGGCATATTATAAATTATATTCAATATTAATACATTCAAGCCATACCAGTAAAGGAATCTGTTGAAATTAAAATACAACATTTAAATAAAAGATTATTAAGATTGTATAAATATTTTAAGATGCTTGAAAAGGCTATTCCTACAAATAAAAGACTGGATTTTTAAATAACACAAAGGGATTCATTCATGTCACCTACTAGACATATATTAGCCTAAGCCTATTACACAAGAATGATATGTGTAACTTACTGCACATCAGTCATTACTTAAACAATTTTGACTGGGTAAACAACATAGATTACATTATAGTATGAAAAGTTAACTTTGGCACACCTGAAACAAGTCTCACTCTCATTAATAGGTTGGTAGATTAGCCGTCTACACCTAGTGCAAATAGACACTCAATACAACAACAACCAGACAAAGCTTTAGTCTATAGTGGAAATGCATGCACTGTACAGTACATGTGGTATGCATTGTGTGGGCGCACATTTTTTCACCATAGTTTAGTATAAAACTCTTGAATTAGGTAGTGCTTTTAAGGCACACATGATAAGGAATGTTGCCATTGTCAGTGACATTGACATCGAATTCAAGTCCTGCGACGCTCCCAACGACACCAATCCAATGTTAGAGCTTCTCTTCCAACTGTTTGGTTGCTGACACTTCCAGTTCTGGCTCATTCAGTTCAGTGACATCTCCAGTGCTTCCTTCAACATTGTCTCCTGGAACAGCAGAGACGATACTATTACTGTTAAAGAACATCTGAATCATTGGCGGTGTAATGTTGAATAGACAAAAACAAAATGGCGTCAGAGCAGCTCTTACGGTGTTTGAGGTAGGAGAGATAGGTGTCCCACCCCAGGGTGATGACATTGACATAGAGGACACGGAACTTAGGAGGCAAGAAGTAGAAGTTGATCATCTGTGCCACGGGCCAAACACACCAGTCCGCCTTGAATGAAAAGGAGCACAAACAAACCCTGAGATCTAGGAGCATCAACCGGGCCAGCAGGATTCAGTACAATAGGCTTGGGTTTCTTAATCAAACTGTTCCTCATACTCTTAGCCAAATTGTTCCACTAACCTTGTAGAACTCCCAGAATTTGTCTTTGAATTCCTCTAACCCCTCAGACAGACTGTGGCCTTCCAACTTTCCCATACCTGGAGAAAGGCACAATAAAGAAAAAATACATAAAGAAAAAAACAAAAACAAGTGAAGTGTGGTATTTATATCTAGATGTCCCTCGCAAGGATTAGTTTTGTTGTGAGCTTTTCCATGAGAAAATTCTTGTTTTTTGCCCTGACAATTCCCCTTCTCTGGAAACAGTCCAAGTACACATGGATTTCAGTATACTGAAATGCTGACTTCTTGAAAAAAAAAAAAAAAACACATCAATATCTCACCAATGAAATACCATGCTCCCATGGTCGGTGATGCAATCAGCTGATCGGTGAGGACTTTCTTGCTGACAGCAGGTAAAGCGTTGCCGACAAAGAACTTGTCCAGCCACTGGTACCAGTAGTGCATGAAGGGCCCCATTGAGCAGCCCACTGCAAACATGCAACCTGCAGAGGTCAGTAGTAACACAGGAAAATAAAACGTTCTTTGCAGTTAGTGAAACCCATAACTACTGTATAGGATGTTGGAAAACATAATAATAAGCAAAAATAATATCAACATAAAGCATATAATTAAAACTATGGTTTGGAATATTATAGTTTAAGTTCATTGTGTATGCTTTGCATTTTTATTTTGGTTAGGCTACTTTATGACAATGATTGGCTCTGTTGCCCCTAGCACATGGTTCATTTCGCTTCAGAATTTATTTCATACAAGGTGGATATTGGGCTCCCTATCGGCTGCTGTCCTTGGTCCTGGACATTACCTGTTCGCGTCCAGTCACGTGCCTTCTCGGGGACCCTCCGTTTCTCTCTGGTTTGTTGAATGATGTCGCCACCGGCTAGCATACACCCACAGCTCACAGTATTGGTTACAATTAGAAACCTGCCTTTGAAAAGCGGCTTCCAATAACCAGCAATCTTGAAGACAAATTCTCTGCTCGACTGAGGAATCATGATTCTGATTCCAAACGACGTAAATCCAATTTAACTGGTCCACTACGGCACTATAAATGTTTAATGTCGTATATATATTTTTGCAGTACTATCGAAGACTGCTGCTATCCATAGACTTATATAGGCTGCTATATCAGTTTCTTTCATCAGGTCCTCTGACTAGGCCTACCTGCCCTTGTCAAGGGCGAGCTGGATGTGTGTCAAATGCGTAACTGGGAGGAGTTTGAGGACATCATACTCAACACTGCTGCGCAAAAAAAAAAAAAAACAGCTGAAGCTCAAGATCTCTCTCGTGTGAAATTCTGATTTCTCCAAAAATGTAGGTTAACACATCAAATAATTTGTATGATATAAAATACTTGACAAATTACATCCCTAAACAGACCAACATTTAACTGTTTTGACATAACTTTCTATTCCTAGCCTACTATTTTGCCTTTCATAAAACACACCAGAAACACAATGCATAGAAAAGGGACATTTACGTCATTTAGCAGACGCTCTTATCCAGAGCCACTTACAGTTCGTGAGTGCATACATCTTTTTTTTTTTTTTATACTGGCCCCCGTGGGAATCGAACCCACAACCCTGGCGTTGCAAACGCCATGCTCTACCAACTGAGCTACATCCCTGCTGGGGACAAAGGTCATATGTCTGCTTTGATTAGAAAGACATTGAGTAAGCAGAAATCCAGACTTAAGTTTTGTCACTGATCCACCAGGGATCATAATCCATATAGTGTAAAGGTTGTTTGTTTTGGCTCAATAAAAATGGTGCATCCATCCAAAACTAAGTAGGGCCTATGCAATACAAGCATCTCCAGCTTTAGATCAGTGTGTAAGGCCCGTGAGTATGCTATTCATTCTTCCATTGTTTCATACTTGATTAAGAAATACAAAATACGTACAAAATACAAAATAAAATATCAAAAATATATAAAATAAAAAATATATATATGTACAAAAATATACATCTTAGGGTCGTCCATGATAGCGATGACAAGTTTCAAGTTGATAGGCCACTGTGGAGTGGATTTACAGTGGTTTAAATGAACACGTAAAATCTGATGTTTGACTTGTCAATAACTCAGCCATCTTTTGACCAATCCCTTAGCTTTTCTCAAACTAAGTAAAGCCATTAACATGGGCCTACATTCCAAATTGGTGTCATTTGGTCCTATGGTTCATGAGAAGAAGTAATTGTATTATATTTTGGCATATTAGCGTATGTCCTAATATGCATCTACTGGTATAGTGTGGCCATCTTTGAATGCGTCAATGTTATTTTCACAAACTCTTTAGACTATTGTGATGAGTCCAAAGAACAAATTTGGAGTGAATCTGACTTAGTCCATGAGAATATTTTTTATGATAATTTTAAACATTAGCATTACATAGTCAAAAATGTGAACTATTAATACTGTAGTTTCCTTTTTCTTAAAGATCTCAATGCCAAACTTAAAATGGTTCATCATGGTAATTTCTGATGACCCTACAGAGTTTCAAAATATAAAATGTAAAATCTGATTTCCTGATTTATCAATAACTCAGTCATCCCTTAACCAATCCCTTAGCTTCTCTCAAAGTAAGAGATGCACAAACTAAGAGATGCACCATGAAGTTTTTCAAATGTTTTCCAAAATGTCCAAGATGGATGAAAATCTATCCTGACGGACCTTATGGGTCCTTGAGGCAAATTTGTTCATCGTTAGGAAAGACACCTACATCCAAAGTCTCTAGGTCAAACGGGGCGGCGGATATGAGGGTTTAAGTGAGACAACTTATAACAGCGCCACCTATAGGCCAATCAGTGCCAATCTTTTTGACCAAGTTACACATGGCCTCTAGTTTCTGTGTGCCAAATTAGAAAAAAAGTTACCAATCTATGCTTGAGTTATTTGACCATGTCAAGGTCAAATAACTTCGCTGTGAACCCCTACTAACAACCAAAGAATAATAAAAAAGGCTGAAGTCTTGTAGCCATCATACTTTCAATCTTATCTTGCATCTTTCTTTCTCACCGGTATATATTTTTACATTGTGCTCCAATAGACAAACCAAATTATGTCAAAGGACATGAACCTTTATCATCATTATATAGGAGAACATGGCTCTTTAACACTGCTAAATGCAGCACAGGCAGTCCTATTAAACCACCAGAGAAGAGGCTTGTTATCACTGGTTTGACTGCTGTCTCCCCTAGGCAAGACAGGCTATGCAGAACTATGACAACCATGTCAAAGCCTTCTACTGTAAGAGCCCTCACTCAAAGAGGTATTCATCTCCATTATACCACAGCGCTTGTCAAAAACGAAATATCTGATCTAATAGGCTAAACACCCATAATAATAATAATAATATAATATAATAATAATAAGCCATTTAGCAGACGCTTTTATCCAAAGCGACTTACAGTCATGTGTGCATACATTTTTACATATGGGTGGTCCCGGGGATCGAACCCACTATCTTGGCGTTACAAGCGCCGTGCTCTACCAATTGAGCTACAGAGGACCACAGATCACATTCAACATAAAATGCAAATTTAATGAAGGCAGTCCTTTTAAAATAGTTTCCTTTAATTTCATCCGTTTATAAAAATAGATTGCTATCAGAGTTTATTTCACATAGCTCATTCCACAGAAGGCTCATTCATTGAGCAATGATACAGCACATGACGTCCCTTTTCTTGATTATCTGAAGAACTATGTGATACTGACAGTCAAACCAGGTTAAAACATTATTGATAGTGTGTCAAACAAATGTAAAAGTTCAGATTTACCATCCCTATTTGGTCATTCAAGTTGAACACTAAGGCATATTGCGGTATGGTGAGAAGTAGATGATTTACTCGTCATGGCAGTAACTTCTGTGTCGTTTCATCCGAGCTGCACCGCAGGCTTCAGGCTTGGGCCCCTAAAGGAGAGTATGACAGAGCATACTTTAGAAATCTTATTCTCACAGCACACTCTGGTGGAGAAAGGTGTCAACAAATACCAACTTCATAGGGTGACTGAATTACTATCTATAGTACAGTCTCTGCAAAGTCTATACTCATTCTAATCATTTGATCTTTGTCATTGGTTTCTATAGACAGGAAGACTATGCACAGTGCATTCGGAAAGTATGACTGTAAGTCGCTTTGGATAAAAGCGTCTGCTAAATGGCATATTATATTATTATTATTCAGACCCCTTGACTTTTTCCACATTTTGTTACGTTACAGCCTTATTCGAAAATGGATTAAATTGTTTTTTCCCCCTCATCAATCTACACACAATACCCCATAATGACAAAGCAAAAACAGGTTTTTAGAAATGTTTGCAAATTTATAAAATAAATAAAAAATGGAAATATAACATTTACATGAGTATTCAGACCCTTTACTCAGTACTTTGTTGAAGTACCTTTGGCAGCGATTACAGCCTCGATTCTTCTTGGGTATGATGCTACAAGCTTGGCACACCTGTATTTGGGGAGTTTCTCCAATTCTTCTCTGCAGATCCTCTCAAGCTTTGTCGTGGGGATGGGGAGCATCGCTGCACAGCTATTTTCAGGTCACTCCAGAGATGTTCGATCGGGTTCAAGTCCGGGATCTGGCTGGGCCACTCAAGGACATTCAGAGACTTGTCCCGAAGCCACTCCTGCATTGTCTTGGCTGTGTGCTTAGGGTCGTTGTCCTGTTGGAAGGTGAACCTTTGCCCCAGTCTGAGTTCCTGAGCGCTCTGGAGCAGGTTTTCATCAAGGATCTCTCTGTACTTTGCTCCGTTCATCTTTGCCTTGATTCTGACTAGTCTCCCAGTCCCTCCCTGCCAGGTTTCCTCCAGACGTGATGCTTGGCATTCAGGCCAAAGAGTTGAATCTTGGTTTCATCAGACCAGAGAATTCATGGAGTGCTGCAGAGATGGTTGTCCTTCTGGAAGGTTCTCCCATCTCCACAGAGGAACTCTGGAGCTCTGTCAGAGTGACCATTAGGTTCTTGGTCACCTCCCTGACCAAGGCCCTTCTCCCCAGATTGCTCAGTTTGGCCGGGCAGCCAGCTCTAGGAAGAGTCTTGGTGGTTCCAAACTTCTTCCATTTAAGAACGATGGAGGCCAATCAATTGAATTTACCACAGGTGGACTCCAATCAAGTTGGAGAAACATCTCAAGGATGATCAATGGAAACAGGATGCACCTGAGCTCAAATTCGAGTCTCATAGCAAAGGGTCTGAATACTTATGTAAATAAGGTATTTCTGTTTTTTATTTTTAATAAATTAACAAAACATTCTAAAAACCTGTTTTCGCTTTGTCGTTATTAGGTATTGTGTGTAGCTTGATGACGATTTGTATTTATTTAATCGATTTTAGAATAAGGCTGTAATGTAACAAAATGTGGAAAAAGGGAAGAGGTCTGAATACTTTCCAAATATACTGTATAGAAACAAGGAGGGAAGAATGGACATGATCGATAGGACATAACACTGTTAAAACTGGAATGGTAAAACTTACCTTCCACATGCTGCAGATCAGAGTGAAGAGTGAAGACATTGCTTTGTCCTGAAGGTCATCGGTGTGCTCCTGAAAGAAGATTCCAGATATAACAATCGAGGCAATAAACTTTGTCGAATGTGACAGACTTTGCTAGTAGCAGTTAGTAATACAGTAAACTTGCTGACACATACAACAAGCATATTTAGCCTCAGTGAACTAACCCCATTTATGACAATCCAAGGCACATAGTTGTGGGCTGGCTTCAGAGCACCAGTCTTCACTGCGTTCTGATGCATCAGCTGATTCCCCTGGTCTCCCTTCACACAGGTCATGATGCTGTCCCACTTGGTGTTCGGGTCATAGAGCGCCACACACTGTCAAGGGGACAGGTGGTCAGAACATTATTATTATCATTATTTCCAAGTATCCTCATATTTACAATGCCATCCGGTCATATCTTATCTTGCCCTCCAGCCATACCCTTACACTACCACATGTGAGCAGAACATATCATTAATCACCAAGTGCAAAAAGTGATTCTGTATTATAATTTTTGGATTTAATTTCAGCCTCTTTTTGTTCATATTTCTCAGAGGTATTTGAATAAAAATAGGGGGTGCTGTATATTGTTTGAGGTGTGGTCTTTTCATGGTCTTGTGTTGAGAGAAAGAAGGTAAGAGTTAATGTCACTCACCTTCTCTCCCGCTTTAACTACATCAGTGGAGGCCTCCATGCAGTAGATGATCTGGAATGCTTTGCTTCCTGTAATATTCAATATACAGGTCTGGAGAGAGAGGGGAAGATGAAAAAGGTTTAAAACAATGTCGCTGGTGTCAAGTTTGCAGATTTTTTTTCTTTCTGTAACGCTTCATGTTACAGCCCGGTTTAAGCTGGTACTTACCTGGTATTAACATGGTATTAACTAGGAAGCTATGTGGTGACAATGGATACTTTCTGGTACTTACGTCAATGAATCTCAGAGAAACCAAAGTGTAATTGCTATGCAATTTTTAGGTAATTATAGTTTTAATAAGTCATTTCCAAGTAACTACCTGGTAAACAGTGGGCTGTAAAATAAAGTGTTACCAAAATCTCACCTCGATCATGTTGCCAAGACATTCCTCCTCACCGTGCTGGCAGGTGAACCGATACTGCTTCCCATCAAAAGATTCCTGTAGTGAGACAAACAAAAATTATTTTTACTAAACACACAATTCCTCAACTCCATTCACTGATAACTACGTTGTCTAAGCAATATCCAAGCAAGTATCATAATACATGAGACAAGCATCATCATTTCTAGCCTACTGTATAGTACGTACCTGTGCATTTCCGTAGGGCACCAGTGTGACACTCATGATGTCCTGCAACATGGTCCATGTGGGAAGGAGCTGTGAGGTGAGGAAAAACCTGCATCCTGGGCACATACTCTCAAAGTACAGCTCCACCTGCACTGGTTGCACCGGTGCGTTGGGCTTGGTGGCATTGGCTTCCAGGCACTGCTTCAGAACCTGCCACAAGAAAAGTAATACGACTTTACAGTAAAGCCATACAAGTTAATACACACACACACACACAGAGTGAGTTTGGTTGAATATTTAGTAGGCCTAAATAGGGTCTAGATATGATATGTCAATCAGGACCTATGGAAGAGAAAAAGTTTATGGGTGTTGATATTATATTTTAATATTATTTTTAATGTACAAAAAGTTGAAAGTTGAAACGCACCCGTTTCGGTAAAAGTCTGAGGTATGTGGCTGGAGAAATTAAACCACACTCAAATTCATAGACATAGCTATGGATGCAAGGACTGGCCATCCATGATATCAAAATTATAGTTTTCATGCAGTGTTACCAAAACATTGTATCCATTTAATTCCGAGAAGAATTTATCTTACCCCACATTCGATGGCTGAGTCCACAGAGGTACACCACTGCGATGGAGAATATGAGCACGGCGTACAATCTACATTTGACCAGATGGTCAAAAGTGTGAATAGAATAATTCCCTTCATCTTTCCTTCAGCACAAGACGACAAACTCCGCTGTCCCTCACTTAAACTAGTAAATATATCAAGCGATTCAAATTTAATCGCTTGCCCTCTTCCTTGGTAAAGAGATTTTCGATTACGTGATTGGTTCAAAGTCATGTGATCACTAACAACGTCACTAAACACCGGCAAAGTGTAGACCCGAAAAACAGACTATCGTGATCTAGTAACATTGTACCACATGACGAGTTGGAATTGTCTTGAAAATGCTTACATTGTCACGAGTTGTTATTCACCTGGAGCTATTTGTGTAGCTTTGTTTCATCCAACTCATATTACTGTTTATAGTGGCAAAGCAGATTTATTAATGTATTGTAAAACGAGCATAAATGACCTGTTTATAATGTATTATAATAACCTAAATGATCCTGACTAATTATTTATACCATATTTTTATTGCCTACTATTTATACCTAACATTCTGAGCCAGTTGAAAAGTTGATACATAGACACACATATTTTAAAAGCCTTATTATAATACGTTATAATGCATTACAAAGGCTCATACATCTACATGATTATTACAAGTTAAGCATTATACCTGCAGGCTTTACCCGGATATATATTGTTATAGATATTCACATTAAGGCACGCTTTACATTGCAACGTTACTGTAACAGGCTGATGTGGAGAGGGAGTGAGCTGTAACGGGTTTGATCCATCGATCCTGTGGTGCAGAAGCAAGAGCGCTACTCCTCTGGGCCTGCGGATCCATAGATTAAACCAGTTACAACTCACTCTTTCCGAATCGGCCTGTTACATTACTGCTGTCTTCTATAGATTTAAGTGCCTACACCCTTTTTATTGTCTATTATGTCAACATGTTTGTAGTAGTGTTGGGTTGCACAATCAGTCTATCAGTGACAGTTTTAGCTTGTAACTTCAAACCAGTTGTGCCACTGGTGTCAGTCTCTCAAAGATCTTGGAAGTTCCCCCTTTATTATTAGAAACCCTGCTACTGTTCCTCATTCCTCATACCACCTGACTGTTCTTACTCAGAGTCATGACCTCATTGGAAATGCACACCACAGCAAAATCCATTACTAATTTCTTGTGAAAGATTAACCTAGTGTCATGGGATCCTTTAGGGCTGTCTCATAATCTTCAGTGAAGGCAAACAGGACAGGAGGATGACTTTATGATGATCCTGTGACAGTTGACTGTTTATGACTGGACTACTTTTCTGTACAGTCGGTTCTCCTCTAAGGATCGATTGTAGCCTGGGTCTATTTCTGCTTATGGAATTGTCTACCTAAAACCCAGGAAATGCATGTTTCAATGTAACGCAAACTGAGTCCCCTCCCCCCAACCCCAAGTGAACATATGTGACTCGTTTCAGGAAACAAGGCGTATGTCATGCGTCACTACTTCACAGGAGCGCCATTTGAACGCAAACTTTGCATTTTTTTGGGGCAGAAATGCCTTCTGGAACATGTGAACTTTCATGTGCCTTAACAAACTTGTATGCCATTTGTAAATACTAATACAATCGTTAAATTAGTTGCTTAGTTGGTTTAGCCACGGAAAAAGAACGCATCCTTCCCGCTAGCCATGATTGGCTGAGATAATGAGTGGGCTGGACATGCCGAGAGATGAGTTTGGATTGGTCTGCCATGTCCCACGTTCTGTCTATAACATGAGCTGGTCAATATGTGTAGGTAATCCTTTCTAACACTGCTTTTTTGAAAGATATAATGTAGTAGAACTGCATAAGTGTTGCTCTCCACTTTCTGGAGGACCGAGTTTTGAAATCAGTGGAATTAGAGTATGATAGCTAAGGAGATGGAGAAAAATCTGGCGTTTGATTGCAAATATGCAGACAGAGTCAAATAGAGAACACACAGAAGGCTGTTGTATAAAACACCTGTCACCAGATTACATCTTCAAACTAAGGGCAACCATGGCATCCGTGACAGAGAGGGAGAAGCGTCCACCCATGTATACGGGTAAGATAGTCTAGCTAGCTACATTTTCAGATATTACACGTTTCTAATTTTGTCAGAAAGTCATTTTTATTTCAAGTTAAAGTGTACTGTTAGCTAACTAGCTAATGTTAGCTGGCTGGTTAGCTAGCTAACGTTTCGTGTATGATCTGTGTAGTAATATTATTCGTATCTGAGAGCCATTTGCATTTCTAGTTATAGCCTAATATTAGCTAGCTAACATTGAACCTGGTTGGTTAGCTACCTGCAGATTCATGCAGGGTAGTAACATTATGAGTTGGGATTATGGTTAATTGTTTAGTTAGCTAGCTACATGTCTAAACAAAAGACTCCACTATGCAAGTAACTATTTCAATAGAATGTGTATGATGTCACTGCGACAACTGTCGATAGACATAACTGGTAAATTCGCTCTGGCTATCTACTCCGATTTCAGAGCACTCTCGTCTGAGTGTGCCAGAGCGCAGAATGACGCTCAACACCCGTTGAATATGGCCGGTGTCAGTAAACGTTGGCAAAAAAGCGTAATTAAATTGCTGCCAGCAGCACAGTTGCAGTCACCAACACTGGATAAGATAACAGCCTAACCAGCTCTGCTAGGGTGAGTAAAATGGTCAGTGAGCTGTTCTCTCATTTGTGTCTGGAAGTATGTAGCCAATGTTAGCCAGTTAGCTTGGGTGCTTGACTGCTGTTAGGTCAGAACACTACTCCTCGGCCAGTGTCCACTGTGCGCTCTGAACGCTCCAAGAGCGAAACGCTCTGAATTTACGAACTGACAATGCTCTGAGTATACGAACGCCCAGAGCACACTCTTGCATTCCAGATTAAATTAACGAACAAACCCGTAGTATAAACTAGCCTTTAGTCTTGAAATCTTTGGTTGTTTAGTACATAGCCTCACATGTGAATCCTTAAAGTGAATCCTGGCCCAGGTATCCTGGATGGATATAGATGCTACTCTACCTTCTAAACAGCACAATCAACAAGGTAGGTCCTACTGGCTCTAGTTTTATTGCACCTGGACTACTGTTCAGTCGTGTGGTCAGGTGCCATAAAGAGGGACTTAGGAAAATTGCAATTGGCTCAAAACAGGGCAGCACGGCTGGCCCTTGGATTGTCACAGAGATCAAACATTAATAATATGCATGGCTCAAAGTGGAGGAGAGATTGACTTCATCACTGCTTGTGTTTGTGAGAGGTGTTGACATGTTGAAAGCACCGAGCTGTCTGTTTGAACGACTGGCACACAGCTCAGACACCCATGCATACCCCACAAGACATGCCACCAGAGGTCTCTTCACAGTCCCCAAGTCCAGAACAGACTATGGGAGGCGCACAGTACTACATAGAGGCAGGTAGCTTAGTGGTTAAGAGCGTTGTGCCAGTAACCGAAAGGTCGCTGGTTCTAATCCCCGAGCCGACTAGGTGAAAAATCTGTCGATGTGCCCTTAAGCAAGGCACTTAACCCTAATTGCTCCTGTAAGTCGCTCTGGATAAGAGCGTCTGCTAAATGACTAAAATGTAAATGTAAATCTCATTCCGTCAGTAGAGGATGCCTGGTTGTTCCTTAAAAGTAATTTCCTCTCAATCTTAAATAAACATGCCCCATTCAAAAAATACAGAACTAAGAACAGATATAGCCCCTGGTTCTCCTCAGACTTGACTGCCCTTGACCAGCACAAAAACATCCTGTGGCGTACTGCATTAGCATCAAATAGCCCCATGCGATATGCAACTTTTCAGGGAAGTTAGGAACCAATATACACAAGCAGTCAGGAAAGCAAAGGCTAACTTTTTCAAACAGAAATTTGCATCCTGTAGCACTAACTCCAAAAAGTTTTGGGACACTGTAAAGTCCATGGAGAATAAGAGCACTTCCTCCCAGCTGCCCACTGCACTGAGGCTAGGAAACACTATCACCACCGATAAATCTACAATAATCGAGAATTTCAACAAACATTTTGCTACGGCTGGCCATGCTTTCCACCTGGCTACCACTACCCCGGCCACCAACTCTGCACCCTCCGCTGCAACTTGCCCATGCCCCCCCCGCTTCTCCTTCACACAAATTCAGACAGCTGATGTTCTGAAAGAGCTGCAAAATCTGGACCCCTACAAATCAGCTGGGCTAGACAATCTGGACCCTTTCTTTCTAAAACTAGCCGCCGAAATTGTCGCAACCCCTATTACTAGTCTGTTCAACCTCTCTTTCGTAACGTCTGAGATCCCCAGAGATTGGAAAGCTGCTGCGGTCATCCCCCTCTTCAAAGGGGGTGACACTCTAGATCCAAACTGCTACAGACCTATATCCATCCTGCCCTGCCTTTCGAAAGTATTTGAAAGCCAAGTTAAAAAACAGATCACCGACCATTTCGAATACCACCGTACCTTCTCCGCTATGCAATCCGGTTTCCGAGCTGGTCATGGGTGCACTTCAGCCACGCTCAAGGTCCTAAACGATATTATAACCGCGATTGATAATAGACAGTACTGTGCAGCAGTCTTCATCGACCTGGCCAAGGCTTTCGACTCTGTCAACCACCGCATTCTTATTGGCAGACTAAATAGCCTTGGTTTCTCAAATGACTGCCTCGCCTGGTTCACCAACTACTTCTCAGATAGAGTTCAGTGTGTCAAATCGGAGGGCCTGTTGTCTGGACCTATGGCAGTCTCTATGGGGGTGCCACAGGGTTCAATTCTTGGGCCGACACTTTTCTCCGTGTATATCAATGATGTCGCTCTTGCTGCTGGTGACTCTCAGATCCACCTCTACGCAGACGACACCATTTTGTATACATCTGGCCCTTCATTGGACACTGTGTTAACAAACCTCCAAACGAGCTTCAATGCCATACAACACTCCTTCAGTAGCCTCCAACTGCTCTTAAACACTAGTAAAACTAAATGCATGCTTTTCAATCGAACGCTGCTGGCACCCGCCCACCCGACTAGAATCACCACTCTCGACGGGTCTGACCTAGAGTATGTGGACAACTACAAATACCTAGGTGTCTGGTTAGACTGTAAACTCTCCTTCCAGACTCAAATTAAGAATCTCCAATCCAAAGTTAAATCTAGAATCGGCTTCCTATTTCGCAACAAAGCCTCCTTCACTCATGCTGCCAAACATGCCCTCGTAAAACTGACTATCCTACCGATCCTTGACTTTGGCGATGTCATTTACAAAATAGCCTCCAACACTCTACTCAGCAAATTGGATGTAGTCTATCACAGTGCCATCCGT